AGGATATCATAAACACAAATACAAAACTTGGCCAAGTCCGAGCCCGGGGACAGGTGCTGGAGGGCTTCCAGCCGGCCGCTCCCTGCTCAGTCCCAGCAGGTCATCTCAGGCAGACCACTCTCAGCCACTATCAACAGCCTGGACCCACATGCCACGCCCCAGGGCTGCATCCTCTGTGCAGTCTGATGCACATTCAGTGGCTTTTCCAGACTTTAGTCTTAGGTAGCTGACAGCATTTAGTAGTAATAGTTTCTTTCTTCTTGACTATCGACACTTTCAACAGGGAAATTAGGTTTTTGTTCCTACTACAGGATGTAAACAGTTTGATGATAAGGTAATTTCCTGGCTTTATAGCACTTTTTTTTATAGCACTGGATATTTTTTAAAACCTATTGTTTAAAAGAAAACATGACAGTTATGCTTCCCACATCTTCCCTTTGAAGATGTTTTTGGAAAACACACCAAAATAAAAATAGGATTCCTAAACCTAGCCTGATAAAACATTTTCTCCACCTTTCATGGAACCAGTTTTAAACTCTCCTGCTTGGTAATTTTACACAGAGTTACTCTAGCTTTGGTTTAAATGATCACTGTTTTATTTTGACAATATCTATAGATGCTTCCTACCCAGCCCCCCTGCAATTAGTTTCAGCTTGACAATCTGCTACCAGTCTAGTCACTGTTGTTTTTATTATCCTAAAAGATTTCTTGTTTTACATGCCAAGCCGTAGGGTGTACCTACCAGATTAGTTGGTCGTTATAGAGAAAGGCAGTGTATTTGACTATACTCAGGCTTTCCTCCATCCTATTAATAAAGGACTGGATTTTCAAATAAGTCATTTTATCCAATGGGAAGAAGCTGATTCCACCAAAAATGTCAAGTAGGTCGCACGACTGCAAGTGCAACGTTTGCAAATACTGTAGGAAAACAAAAGGTATAACACTTACTAATAATACACTGAAACTAGTACTCTTTGACAACTAATTAGTCTTAACTTACGGTATAATACAATTAATTACATACTAGCAAACAGCACACTGACAAGACCAACAAGTAGGTGAGCCATTGGGACCTGGATTTGAAAATACAAAGTTTCACATCAATATAGTTTCAATTCAATTTCAAAATATAAAGTTCAAACATAGCTAGTTAATGTTTACTCAGTATTGTGTTTTATCTCTTTGAAGTATTTAATTCCTTATGCTAGTGCTCCACAAATTAAGGTAGCCTCATTAGGGGTCCACACAGTGGTTCCACAGCAGACAGACAGTGCCATCGCACACTGAAATCATGGAAAGGGACACATGGTCATTTGTGCCTGCCGGTGGGTAGCAGAGCAAAAAAAGACAAGAACGAGAATCAGGAGATAGTATGGGAGGAAATAATTATGGTCACTAAAGTGAAAAACAAGCAAAGTAATTCATAAAAACAAAATAATTTAAAAACAGGCATCAAAGGTAGTTTATGGAGAAAAATTGAGATGTATCCCTTTAAAAAACACTGATTTTGACTAGAGGTTAGGTGAGATATGCAAAATCAATTTACAGTAATAGAGAATGGTAACTTTTAGGGACATTCATTTATCACTTAGGAAAAATCACATTAATAAGCTCTAATGTGATAAAGTCTGTGTCACAGCCAAAAACTTTTACCTTCAGTCAATATAGATTATACCTGTTTAGTGAACAGAATCAATACACAAAAAGTGCTACTCAGCCAAATAGTTTAAATTTTGCTAATCAATCAATCCACCACACAGTAAGTTTATTTTTTGAGTAACCCCACTCTGATAGATGCAGGTGGAACACAGATGAAGCCGAGAGGTATCTCAAGATGTTTTAAGGAGCTGTGCACAAGTGGCAAGATCCTACACACCAGGTCAGAAAAAGATTCAAGAGTACACAAGTCTAACGAGTCTCCTCACTGGTTGTTTTGCCACAATGTATCTTAGTCTCTTTGCCCCTTTCAAGTTCTGGGTTTTTTGTATATGAGAAACAAACTTGTTAGTATACTTCTCTAAGGGGATGTTTGACCACTACCTAGATTATAAATAAAATTCAATACTTACCCGATGGAAGAATTTCTCTAATCTTTCTTTTAGGAGCTTGACACCTCCATCTTCCATGGCTCTCAGAAATGTACCATTAAAGAGCTAATGGTGTAAAAGATTTTAAAAAGTCAACTTCCTATGCCCTTGGATTACCCAGTATAACAAGGTCTTCTTTTATTTTTAGATTAATTAATTCGGCTTATTTAATTCCCCCAGTTCCTTTTAAATATAGAATACATTTACGTATATGAGAAAGCCTAAGTTATAAAATAAGTCACAAAAAATTCACACACTGTTGAGTAATGTTAATTTTTATGAAATCACCTGTTCTGGGCATGTTTTTAACCTCAACTCATACCAAAGTTTTATTTACAGAAATAATATAGCCAGACTTTTTAAACCATACAAATTTCCATAGTATGTATTTTCTCCCAGAACATGGAATGTACAAGGCCAGGGGATAGGAAAGGGCTCAGTACTCAGTGAGTGTACGCATAAACCTCAATACTGTCCCAAAGGCCCCATTATTGCCTCCCCTAAAACAGATACACAGTCGCCTTGCAATCATCTAAAGAATTAAGAATTATTTTTAAACAACCCCAGTAAATAAGGGTAGGTGGCTAGATTCAATTCAGAAAGAATGTTACACTTACCTTGTACATGCTGTAGCACTGTTGGAGCACTGAACTATAAACTTTGTCCTACAAACACACAAAGACATAGCACAGAAGTCAATTCAAGAAAAAAAAAATTCTATTACAGAGCAGAAGTACAAAGACTCTTGGCAAAGCAATATCATATTTGTAAACTTGTTCCCACAATAGTTGTGTGCTAAAAGTAGAGGTGTTTAAATTCAATTATAAATCAGTAAGCCTAATTTTAGGAGGGCTTCAGACATAGATGATTAGTAGAAGCATTAATGAGATAGGGTGCATATACATTTTTCTAAGATTGTGCTAATGTAAACAATACACATAAAACTTCAATATGTGCACCCTGAGAAACTTTTGCAAAAGCAACACAGCTTAAATTTGAGCAAGTCACTCAACATACTCAGTAATAAATTTTTTTCTAAAAATTTGAAATAAAAAAAATGACAGATTACCAACAACTCTTCCTCTTGGTATTCAACAACTGGTTTTCCATCTTTACTTTGTTTTTCGATTATAGGATTCCGAACAACCTACAGAATTTGATAAGCTGAAATTATACAATGAAGCAATTATATTTTTAATTTCCCCTAAATTAAAAAATCTGAATATGTCACAACACCAAAAACACAATTTCTTAAAACAGTCCCAAGAACAAATACACTGAATAGGAGTTTGATTTTAAAATTGCAGCCAACAGTATTATAATTTTACTTTGACGCAATAGCCAGAGGACTAAATTCCTAACAGTAAGGATCACCCTTAACTTCACAAATTAAAAAAGATGTACTATGTATGTAAATACCATGACCATCCAGAAATTTTCTTCTGGTTCATTGAAGAACTGTCTATTCTTCTGTGTATGTAACGATTTTGCAGGTTTTGATGGACTAAAGGTCCTAAAAAGGTTAAAAGAATATGTTGAGGACAGCTCTCCGGTATGAGTTGTAAGAATTCACTGCACTGTGCAAAAGCACATTTAAAGGCATTACCTTGTAAACTGTACAATAGCTTCACATAATCCAACGTTTCTAATTTTTTCATTCTTCTCTACTTCGTTTGGATAATAAAACAAAATTTTATTTTCCTCCTAAAGTATGAAGAAACAGAATCACATTAATATAAGTATTTTTTTCACCTTAGCTGTTGAAAATGCTAAGTTTAATGTCAACTTCTCATGTCATACATGCTAAAGGCCCCCCCCCTCAAAAAAAATCCCAAAATCCCATTTTAGAAAAACAAGAATTATCTCCTCACTGTAAAAATAACGCCCATCAGCCTGACAGACAATTGTGATACTCAGTTAAGTCACATGTCATCCGAAGTAGCACTAGACAATTACTCCGAAACCCCATCTTTGGAGCTCTTTCCTCATGCCAATTTGCAATAAATACACGAACGCTTGTAAGAAATAAGCATGTGTGCGTGCAGGTGCATAGACTTACACCTCCCTGCAAATTCAACCCAGCAGGTTCACGGACATTCGGACCAACAGCATTTAAAAGAATTGTGATTGGCTGGCAACAAAACCTAGCTCCAGACATCCTTTGAGGAAGTCGCCGTCCCCACCTTAAAAATAACCCCCAAACTCCTGGAATTTATGTATTAATTCGGAAAAAAACTTCCTGCGGGTCCAACAAGTCTGTATTATTTTAAAGCTACAGTCCACCGCTCTTGTTCCACGTTTCCAGCGGGCTTCGGGAACTTCCAGTAACAGAGACGTAAGCCCAATTTTATTCATCCGGAATCGATGCAAAGAGAAAACGGACTCAACCCGTGTGGAGTGATTCACCTGATGAACCTTCATGCAATACACAGGCACTGATCGGGGACCTGACCAGATGCAGCCTGCGCTTTCCGGCCCCCGCCGTATCCCCGGGGCTGGGCGCACACCCGGCACTTAGCAGCCTCGGCAAAATGACGCTCAAGGAGGGCAGAGTGACAGGTGCTGGGCGGGCCAGGGCCGCCTCCGGGACGCACCCCGCAGCTCCCGGGGCCCGACGCCGGCCAGCTGGCCGCCCCACCTCCCCCCCTGCCCCCGACCCCTTGTCGGCCGCCGGGTGACGCCTGCGCACAGCTCGGCTCCGCGTACCTCTCCCTCGCGCGCCCCGAAGCGCGGGTTGTAGATGAAGAAGCTCAGCAGCGCCGGCGGGAACTGCTTCTCCTGGGCCGCCCCGGCTGCCGCCGCCGCCATCCCCGCCCGGTCCCCACCTTGGGAGCCTCCTTCCGCCGCCGGTCCCGAGACAGCCGCAGCCCAGAGACCGCACTTCCGCCTCGCTAGCGCTCCCCCGGAAGTGGTCGCCGCCAACCCGGAAGAAGAAGTGGCAGCCCGGCGTCTCCTTCTGGCGCGCCCTTGTGGATTCGCTCCCGGGCAGGTGTATTTTATATGAGAAGTAAGGCGAAGGTGAAATTTCTTTCTTTGTTTGCGCCCAGATTTCTGTCCTGGCTAAAGGGAAGGGTTGCTTGTCTAAAGAAAAATGGGTGGAGCCTAGGTTTTTGTAGAAGGGAGCGTGAAGGTGCCAAGGAAGCTCAATGCGTTGAAAGACACAAGTTTAGGGGCAGACACGTATTCAGCCTGCAGTTTGTCCAACTTCATCATTTACAGGGTCCTTCCGGGCACTTAAGGTTTTGTTGTTGTTGTTGTTGTTGTTGTTTTTATCCCAGTTTGAGAGACCAAACCGACGACTTTGCACCTTACCCCAATTCCTCTGGCTCAGGGCAGACCAAGCGAGACCAGAGCATGGCTTTCTCCCGAGTGCCAATCCCAAGCCTTGGCACACAGGGCATCACCCTTTCCAGCTTTTAGGATTCACTTGCTCTTGAGTCCTCTGAATTGTCACACAGTTGGAATGGACCATTACAGCTGGTATTTGGAGTTCAAGCCCCCATAGCTGATTGCTTGACCAAGCTCAAGCCGACCTTGGTTTAGGTTGTCTCTTGTCAGCTGATGGTGGTTGGTGCCAATTCAACCCCAACAGGAACCCCCAATTTGGTGTACAGTGAAGGAGACTTGACTCAGTACAGACATCTCAATTGCGATACAGCACAGCTATAGAAAAGCAAGGCTGTGAGGCTCTGTAGGGATAAGGCAGCCCAGTGTTGCGGCTTGGCTTACAAAACAGGCTTACAAGACAGGTCAACTCAGCTCCACACTCCAGTGAGACATTGCTGCTCTGGTCCACTCTCGTCTGGTTCAGTGAGATGGCTGAGGTGACAAAGCTCCAGCCAGGAAACACAGTCTTCAGTGGGCAAGGCAAGTGCATTCCTTGACCCAGAGTGAGCTGATTTATATAGAAAGAAATCCCTGCCCCTGGTGGGTAATTGGTCTGTTCTCTTGCAAATAATGACTCCAAGTCCTCAGTTTGATTGGTCCAAAAAGCCCTGTCCTGATTGGTCAATGAAGATGCTAATGAGGATTTGTGCACCACCAATTGGATGTGGAAAGTCTCAGTTCCTTTGGTTGAAATAGGATTCCAGGAACTCATTTATAAAGGTTGGCTCAGACACAGGCAGGCAGTTCAGTGCAGGCTTCTCCCTGAGTGTGGCTTGTGTGAGAGGCCCCTGTTTAGCATTGGTTTCTAGGCTCTCTTTTTAAATTTGGCCCAGTTAGCCACCCGGAGCCCTTGGTAGATATTTTTTCTCAGGGTCAACACTCCTCTGTCACAGATTAAGTTTAGAAACAGGACTGCTCATCCAACCTGGCAGAATGGATCTTCACATTTAGGGAGACAGTGTTGGAATTTGGACACGAGACAGACCTGGGTACTTAACCCTAGCTGAATCATTCACTAGGTGTGGACCTTGGGCCGATTACTTAGTCTTTCTCGACTCTCTATCTCTTATTCATAAAATGATAATAGTAAATGCTTTCCTTGAAGAAATTCCACTAAGAATTAAGTGGGACCATGAGTTGGACATATAGTGGCCAGCACTTAATCATTATTCAACAAATGATCTCTATCATTACTTGCTCTTGACTTTCCCAACATATGCAAATCAACATGTGATACACCACATTAACAAAATGAAGGATAAATATCGTGTGATCATCTCAGTAGATGGAGAAAAACCATCTGACGAAATTCCACATCCTTTCCTGATAAAAACACTCAGCACACTGAGTATAGAAGGACTATGTATCAACATAATAAAAGCCATATATGAAACCCCACAGTTAACATCATGTTCAATGATGAAAGGCTGAAAGCTTTTCCTCTAGGATCAGGAACAAGATAAGCCACTTGTAGCCACTTTTATTCGACATAGTACTGAAGTCCTAGCCAGAACAATTAGGCAACAAAAAGAAATAAAAGGCATCCAAGTCATAAAGGAAGAAGTAAAATTGTCTCTGTTTGCAGATAAAGCGATCTTATATATAGGAAACCTTACAGACTACACCAAAAACTTCTTAGAGCTAATAAATGAATTCAGTAAAGTTGCAGGATACAGTATCAATATACAAAAATCAGTTGTTTTTCTTTACACTAACAATGAACTATAAGAAAGAAAACAATCCTATTTACATTAGCATCAAAAAGATTAAAATACTTAGGAATACATTTAACCAAGGAGGTGAAAAACCTGTGCACTGAAAACTATACATTGATGAAAGAAATTGAAGAAGACACAAATAAATGAAAAGATATTCTGTGTTCATGGGTTGGAAGAATTAACATTGTTAAGATGTCATACTACCCAAAGTGGTCTACAGATCCAGTGCACTCCTTATGAAAATTCCAATGGTAATTTTTATAGATATAGAAAAAACCATCTTAAAATTCATATTTTAACTACAAGTTACCCCCAAATAGCCAAAACAATCTTGACAAAGACAAAGCTAGAGGCATCACACTCCCTGATTTCTAACTATATTACAAACCTATAGTAATCAAAGCAATATGGTATTGGTATAAAAACAGACACATAGATCACTGGAACAGAATAGAGATCCCAGAAATAAACCCATGTACATATGGTCAATTAATTTATGACAGAGGAGCCAAGAATATACAATATTGGTATAAAAACAGACACATAGATCACTGGAACAGAATAGAGATCCCAGAAATAAACCCATGTTATATGGTCAATCTATGACAGAGGAGCCAAGAATATACAATATTGGTATAAAAACAGACACATAGATCACTGGAACAGAATAGAGATCCCAGAAATAAACCCATGTACACATGGTCAATTAATTTATGACAAAGGAGCCAAGAATATACAATGGGGAAAGGACAGTCTCTTCTATTAATGTTGGGAAAACTGGATAGCCATATGCAAAAGAATGAAACTGGACCTCTATTTTGCACCATACACAAAAGTCAACTCAAAATGGACTAAAGACTTCAGCATAAAAGCTGAAACCATAAAATTCCTAGAAGAAGATGACATTGGTCTTAGCAATGATTTTTTTTTGGATTTGACACCAAAAGTGAAAGCAACAAAATAAAAAATAAACTAAAGAGCTCTACACAGTAAAGGAAACCATCAACAAAATGAAAAGTCAACCTATGGAATAGCAGAAAATATTTGCAAACCGCACATCTGGTAGGGATTAATATCCAAAACATCAAGAAACTCTTACAAGCAATAGAAAAGTTCAAGAGGAAGCTGCTGGGTAGAGGTTTGGGTGTGATATACACCCCTAAGGCCACCTGTACGGAGGGCTACTTCTCCCATCTGTTGACAGAAATAACAGACCGTCAGTCAAGTGGCCAGTCTGTTCTTTGTTGATTTAGAGCCAAGACTGTGTCATTCAGAAGTGACTTTCATTCTGAAGGTACACGTCTCTCCTGCAGTGAAAATTGACCTCAATCTCCATCTTCTCATGTGATCACCTATAAAGGAGCTTTAAAAATGTATAATTCTTTTTATTTAAAAAATGAAAAAAATCTGAAGCAAATTCTGTAAATCAAGGTTCAATTGGAGAATAAGAACCAGTAGAAAATATATATGCATATAAAAGTATATTATATATGTAATGTAATTTTTAGTTGTTAATTGCAGGTATTATACTATTATGTAGCCATGTAATAGATAGTCATATATGTACCTGTATGTATTATAGGTATGCACTTGTGAGAGCTGGTTCGACAGTCTCTGTAAGGCTGTTGCCTTCATCCAGTGCTGAAGTGTGAAGTCCGCAGAGCAGGCAGTCAGGAAGGGAAGATGGATGTAAACGGGGAGAGTGAGGACAAGCTGGAACCTGGGAGGACAGACTGGAATCCATGTCAGTCTCTCACACCTCCGACTCTGACAATGGAGGGTCCGCCAGGAAAAGCAAGTGTCCTTTGTCACAGAAGGAAACACACACCTGGAACTGGGAGCTGAAGGAACCCCACACCAAGGAGGGGAGCCAGCAGGTAAGGGACCACCCCCCACCAGCCTCTGGAGCATAAATACTCTGGCTGCTGCTTCATGTCCCGCCCTCTACATCTCAGGCAAACGGTTTTGGTGACCCACCCTAACTGAGTACTTACAGCCTAAGCAAGTTGACATGCGCGTATTACGAAGCCACCAGGCAGTTCATGCCAAGATTTGATAAAGTGAGGTGGTAGGTACGCAGGTGTTTACATCACTGTGTATTCTCATCTGAATGTTTGAAATACTTTACAATTTAAAAATTAGGTGTGAATCCATGTATATTCATTGTAGAGGTTCTATAAAAATTATGTCAGAATCCACTCCCTACCAGAAAAGTTACGTTTTGAAACCAGTTAAAACGTTATGTAAATGAATCATCTTTCCAGTGAGTAAATTAACAGGCCCAGTGGAAACGAGCCTGGTGATTCCAATTTCATCTGCCTTCTTAAGTGTTTGCAAGGTAATACCATACCTTAACGTTGGCAGGAGCGATAGAAGATAGTTTTTTGCTTGAAATTGGATTCCTGAGTACTCATTACACAAAAAGAAACTGCAGTTGTTATACAGAACTAACTATGGAGCTTGTAAACCTGGACAAACAGACACGTATTTCGGAAATCTTCACTGTTTTGCTGCGCTTTTTATTTGAGCTGGAAAGAACTGTGAAACCTATGCATTTAAAAAAAGCATATAACTATTTCATCATGTGCTGTTCTGAAGCAAAATACCAAGTAATATTTGAAGTATTTTCATCATTCTTATTAGTCTCACCCGTTAAACACATTCATGAAGCTGGCCTTGAATCATATTTCATTAAATTATAAAGTGCTCTACCAAGTGATAAGCCAAAATGATTAAGTAAAAATCGTTCAAATTATACTCACTGTTGCTTCACTATTTTGTAAGCAATTAGGAAGAATAACAGACACCAGACTTTTTTAGCTGTAACCTATGATGCCATCTAGACCTTCGTTTCAAAATCAAAATTTCATTTCACTGTTGAGTACAGGTGGGTGGTCATCTGGAAACTAGGGAAAATAACCATGGAAATAAAGTTGTTTAGATGCTTATCAATCCCTTTTCTGGATTGTTGGAGTTTTATTTAGGGGTTTTCCAGATTTGATTTGACTCTGGATATGATCATTTAAAAATTGTCCTCAGTGTGTAAAATTACAATTGAGTCTAAAAAGCACTGAGTAGGGATTTCAGGAACAGCACAGTACTCAGGGCTTTCATTAATTCAAGTGTGGGATACATCCATCGCATGAGTTTTTTTAAAACAGAATTTATTGTTACTTGGCTTCGTGACAATAATCAGGTAAATTCTACATCTCTGTTTTTAGTTTTCTGTAGTTATTATGCTCTGCTTTTGGAAAGGCTCCGGCCTTATCTCATGGTAATCCTACCAGCAGCAGGTAGCTACTGTTAAGTCTTGCTGTATATCCTTTTACTCTTTTTTCTGTGAGGCACATGCTGAATAGGACCCATTTAAAAATGAATTGCTTTGTATGAAATGTATAGAATGACTAAAATCAGGTAGATTTTGAAACCATTTTTTGTTTTCAAATCATGCTTCACCAAGGATTTGGAAATGCTAATGTTTCTGCGATACTTAAACTTGGGAAAAATAATTTTAAAAACCCAGAAAAACAAAAACAGTGCTAATTAAAAAATATGATCAAATGCCCAGAGCTGTTGTTACCTGCATTCAGAGGTGGAACACCCACCCCCTGCACCCCAAAACACCCAAATCCAAACAACATGGTTAAAATCTGATATGAGAAAACACAGGATTATTGGGTTTCAATTAAGCATACCATCTGACACTTTTTGGGTGTTAAATACAGAGAGATGTCTCCTTTTGATTGCTACTTCTTGCCTATTGACAGAGACTAAAATTTTCCTAAAACTGGGGTGGAAGAGTGAAAAATTACTATATTTGAAATGGGCAAAAGTAATTTGAATTATGCTTTTGAAGCAGTAGGATGAACCAAATTCATGTATAACCGACAATTATTCTATCTATGAAAAGTGTATGGCAGTTTATCCTCTGCATACATCTGTCCTCTAAGCATTTTCCCCAAGACAGTCAGAACATCAGTACGCCCCAGTGACACAGCGTCCCCTGGGTGCTCCGTATAACCCCTCCAGTCCTTATTTCTCTCCAGATGCCCTCCTGGTGACAGAAAAGAAAGAGGAACTCACCATCTTTACCTCGACTGGGGCGAGGTTGCCTTTGCTGCTCCAATGGGTGTTGGATGGCTTCGTCAATTAAAAGCTCACAACCATTATTTTTAAAGTATCATCATTCACATTGTTACTCCAAGGCGTATGGTGGCCAGAACCCCGTGGGAAGGGGGATACAGGATCACTTTGAGTTATTGAGAGGGCTCCCCTTGCTTGGAATAGAATGAACTGAAAATAACAGGAGGATCAGTGTATCCATGTGTGGTGTGGATGTGAAGGCAATTTGTGGATTGTTTTAAGAATTAAGGCTCTTAGGTCATCAGTAGTGGCCAGGAAGTCCCTCTCGCTGCCTATATTCCGAGGGATTCACAAACTAAAATATTAAAATAAACACACGGTTATTAAAATAAAAAATGTCGATCCCTGTCCCATTAAAGTCACCTTGAGGCCTTCTTGTAGTCCATGCCTCCCACTTTGAAAAGCTGCTGTAACAGGACCCTCCAAAACACAGGGGTTCAAAGTCACTAGGTGACTTAGTATGATGGAGGCAATCCAGGAGAGCGCAGGGCCGTGAGCTTGGGTGTTGTGGTGAAAAGTGTGAGTTTTTTATCTAGTTCTCAGGAAAATACCTCAGGTCCTCCCAGGAGTCCTCAACCCCCCCGGGGGTCAGCCAAGGGCTTTAACCTGCCACCTGGAAACCAGCCTAATGAGAATTTCCTGGCTTGAGATCGCCCCACACTAATGAAAACCCTGTAACAGGACCCCCGAGGCTCGAGGCTCGCCTCAAATGTTAAGATGCTTCTCGGTGTAATTGGTTCAAGTGGTATCAAATAAGAGCCAGGAAAATAGTGGCTGAAGAAGGGGAGGGAGAGGCCGCAGGAGGTTGGGTCAGAGCAGGCTCGTCTTTGATAGCTTGTTCCTCTAAGAAGCAGTCTGTGCTCAACTAGCATAGCAAGTCTCCTTAGCTCTACAGCCCACTGCAGCCTCACATTTCTTTCTGTCTTGTATCATTTGCTTTTATTTAAATCTCTCATGGAAATCTAATGCCCAGTAAGCAGGAAACACATAAGCAAGAGTGATTTTATGCTGCCTAAAATCTCTTCCTATTAATTTTAGACTTGGATTAGTCGCTGAGAGAATCCTAGCCTGACCATGCCATTTATCTGTGACTTTTTTTTCAACCTGTTTTCCTTGTTTGCTCATGCACAAGAGAGTTGCTTTCTCTGTGCTGGATAGGACCAGACATCTTTCTAAAAGTCCCCAACTTGCTTTCATCCCTCTCCCTTGCTGAGAAAAAAACCACACCCACACATCAGCAGATGATGAGAAATGTGTCTTTATTGGATCATTTTTAAAGGCATTGTCTGCTGAGGGCCTTACGGGAGTCATCGGGGCATACCCACCACCAAAGAGTTATAAACGACTGGCTTATTACCTCACTAGAACAACGAGCAAGTCGCAGAAGCATTTCAGGGGACATTAATAAATAAATTAGGGGGAGGATGTGGGGTTTCCCATTCCTGGGGCTTTGAGGGCTTCCAGCTGATTGTGTCTATCTCCATAGTCTGGGGTCTTTAAGAATGTACCATTTCCTGGAATTCTAGAACAGAAGAGGCGAGAATAGGGTCAGTGGAGATGGCTTGGTACATGCTATGGCCAGTGAGAGTTCTGAAGAGGAAAGGAAGTGCAACACATTGTCAGGTGATGGGCCTGGCCCCCTCAAAGGGCACAAAAGGAAGAAAAATGTAAGTGTCACGACTCCAGGTCCAGGTAGTCATCAGCATTTCATCTTCCTGCATAATCTAATTTAACAAACACCATTAGCTTTGCAGTAGGTGGCAGTTCAGTTTTTTGTCTGGTTAGTTCAAGACAGAAATGGGAGATTTTCTTCTTTTATTCTGTAGTACATTTTGCATTTTTAGGAAACATTTAATAGGGTAGGACTTTTCTCTATTGAACCCCAACTCTACCCCCAAAAGTTCATATTACTAAAAGAAAGACAACAACAATAATAATGTATGGATGCTACAAATAGGAATTGAAAAGTCAGGATTTACTTTATGTTTACTAATAAGCTTTGGCTATTTGGAACTCTTTCATGGTTGGGTTTAAACGAATCAATCTTCCCTTACCTAAACTATTTTTCTGAGCTATTTATAGGAGCTACCTTAACTCCCATGTAGTAAATTATAGTGGTATCATTTTGATGATATTTTAAAAGTAAGGATCTAAAGTAGCAGTTGTTAATTTCAAATTAATACCACCATAAGGACCATGCATAAGTTCTCCTGAGTCGCATGCACAAAGTAGATAAAAATCATGTAAGCAATGTGGCGAAATCTGACGAAAATAAGTCTAAAGCCATGCAATTATGCTAAAATTTGAATATCAGCCTCTGCACACAGAAGACTCCATAAATGGTGTTTGAATTGATTTATGTGTTCTCTGATATTGTCCACTTGGTGGACTAATATCCAATAACGCACATTTGTTTAAACCCTTGAAAGCTAAGAGGCTTTACTACTCAAGTTACAGACTTTTTAGTATGAGACACACTTGAGAATGTCAACCCTTATCTTATTTTCAGGGGCTCAAATACCATAGGCAGAAATCCTTACACTATTTTCAGGGTGTGTGAGGCTGTCTTGCAAATAATTGGCCAGGCAACTAGCTAGTCCCCTCGTCAGGGATGGATATTTTCTGGTTCATAGACAATGACCAGCGGGACCAGCTTCTACAGTACATCCCCGGGGATTATGCCAGAGTCTTTACAGGTATCATTTGCACCCTCACTCTAGTCCCATTTTATAGATGAGAACCCTGAGGCTCAGCAAGGTTAAGAAAAGGGGATTTTAACCCACATCTGTCTGATCTCATGGCCCAAGCCCCCCAGATGATCCCTGAGCTAGTCGTTTATGCTATGTATAGGGTGAACATACCATCAGCCCCAATTTTTCCGTCTCCATCATTATCTGCGGCCGCCATCAGGGACTTGGTTTCTGACTCTGTCAGTTCTCTAGCACCACTCTCAAACTTCTGGAGGAAAAACCTACAGGATAATAAAGATCGAGGGGAATTTTCTGAAAGACCATGCATTTCCTCCGCTTACCCTTTTTCCTCTTGAAGCAAACCATCTTTTCCCAGCAATTGCGATCATTAGTCAAGGTCCTAGCCAGCAACGTTTTCCTTCCTTGTGGAAACTAATGGTGGGCATTTTGTGTTTTGAAAGTTTTCTCAGAGTTTTGTTGATAAGTCCATTTGCCAAAGCAAAACCCTAAAACTCGTGAATTTTGGCACCTACAGCCTTAGGTACCCACGTTCAGTGCTTCGCATGGATAGACATGTGGCCACCTGACTCATGTGCTTCCCATTCTTGAGGCTCTGCCGAATTACCAGCGTCATGCTGGCCTTTGAGGAAATGCTGAGCAAACTGGCCTCCACTGCACCCCAGCCCCACTAGCAATGTCAGGGTGCAAGACAGTCTTAGAACAAAGCTTACTTAAGCTCTTCTTCATCCAGGTATCCACTCTGGTCGTTGTCTATGAACCGAAAAACATCCTTCACCTGACTGGCCGACATCTTGGAGAGGCCTGATGTCTGGAAGAATTTTTGGGGTTCAAAAGTATCTGGGTCTGAAGAACAGAGAATGGGTTATTCTAACGCTCATTGGATCCCAGTCTGTATTTGGGCCAAGGTGCTGAAAACATAAGTTATCAAAAGTAGTTTTCATAGTATCATTGAGTTGCAGGGATGCTCTATTAAAATTTTTTTTTAAGTCCAAGATTTTGAGGCATCCAAGACTGCATGGCTTTGAGTATCATCTGCTGCCCATCCCCCTTCCTCAGCTTTCCCTCCCCACTCGATTTGTCCATCTCCCCTTCTGTCTCCTCGACGCCTCCCCCTGTGCATTTTCCAGCCTGCCTATCCAAGACCACAGCCTCACTGGTCCACCTGGTGAGCGGAAATGCAGCCATTGGATTCAAATAAGCTACGTGGCATCCACGATTCTCTTTTTTCACTTTTAGTTTCTTTCGCCTTACAGAAATGTAATCCTATGCTCCGATCTCATATCCCTATAATTTTAGTTAATGAATAACAGTTTAATTCTCCGATCTCATGAATGTTCAGCCAAGTTCAAATTTTAATTTTTGTGGCTTTGCCAGAAGTGCAGATACCTGAGAAAAAGCCGCCCCTGTCTCACTTGCCCTTTACCTTGGCACTCCTGCAGGGCTGCTGCAATGTCGTCAGCACAAAGGACGTCTGTGATGCTCATTTTCCACCTATTCACACAGAATAAACGGCATCCGGTAGACGGTGAGCAGGAACACGCACACCTGGGGAGCCCCCCCCTCCCTCTGGCCCACTGAAACTGTGCGTTCGCTGAGAATTTTTAAATGTGATAAGCAGGGTATTAAGCGACGGGACAGACTATCCCAATAAAAACCAAATACTGAAAAGACCCCGGCCCCCTTATATCAGTGCCCTCTCCTCGATGTACCCCGAAGATGAAATTAAAAGTGCAGCCTAAAGAATGATTTGATTCCTTTGTCTTATTGAAAATTATATCTACATAATTTATCACTGACATAGGCATCTACAAACCATTCAGAAGTAAGCCATGTTACAATTGCAACAGCATTTTCATACACCAGCCAGAGAAAGGTGGCGCTGCAAATCCCGAATGGAAAAGGATAGAGCTTGTGCTGCACGCAGACCTTCTGTGGAGGAGGATTTGTCCTGAAGGATGGGAACCAGAGACCTGAAAAGCCCATCTACCAGTGATCAAAATCCTTCCGGGTGTCAACTCCATGGGAAAAGAGAAACCTGAGCACAGCATGCATGCGCCCGATGTGAATGCCTGTTGGAAAGAACAACCTGGGCCTGGTAGGTCCACCAGCTACTCACCGTTGTAGATTTTCCCCCAGGAAGAATCAGGAAAAAGTGTTGAAGGAGCAAAAAAACGGATGTGCTTTTGCTACCTTACTGACCTGCCTTATATAGGATTGAAAAAGTGATAGTAAGAGCCTCTTAGATTTCCTTTTCAAGGATCAAGTGGACATAGCTCGAATGTCTTGCCTTACTAATTAAACCTCTTTTTTTTTCTATTTATATTGCAAGGGAATGTGGGTGGGAACAGCCAATTTTTAAAAAACAAACCTTAACTAAGGCTTCAATTCTGCAAATAGCCCCTCCTGGTGAAGCATGGAGAAGATACTAGAGGCCTGGGAAAGAGGTGACAGTGCCTGGAATGAGGTAAACACATATGGGGGTGCTCTGTAAATGGAAAAGGGCACCCCAGGTGTCAGTTGAGGCAGGTCTATTGTCAGCCTCTGAAACTGGACAGGTGAGGCTGACCTCAGTCTGGAGTTGAGACTCAAAGTCAGTGTGTCGGTGGACACACAGGACTTGTCTGGCAAACAGATGGCACTCGGCAGATGACTTTCCAAAAGTCTTGACTTTGATATTTCCCAGCTGTATTTTAAATTTCACATACCAAAAAGGCAACAAGGGGGAAAACAGCCAACCATTTCCCAACCCCATAAGTAAAATTTGCATAAAAAAATAGGAGGCCAGGACTTCAGACCACAAGATGTTTTTTTTTGCTGTGTGCAAACATTTATCAAGTCTCCTATGTGGCGAGGGCTGTGCTAGACTTATTTTTTTAATTGTGGCAAAAAACACATAACATAAAATTTGCCATCTTAACCATTTTTGATGTGTACTTACAGTATAGTAGCGTCAACTATTCATATATGCACATTGTTGTACAACAGATTGCTAGAACTTTTTCATCTGGCAAAACTGAACTCAGTACTCACTGAACAAAAATCCCCCATTCTCCCTGCCCCACCCCGCGGCAGCCACCATTCTACTTTCTGTCTCTAGGAGTTTGCCTATGTTAAATGTCTCTTATAGGTGGACTCATACAAGTATCTGTCTTTTTCTGACTGGCTTATTTCACTTAACATAATGTCCTCAAGATTCATCCATGTGGTAGCGTATATGTCATTTTCCTTTTTTTTTTTTTTTTAGGCTGAATTCACGTTTTTGAAAAGTCAAAAGACCCATCCCATGTTGCAGTCAGAAATATTCAGTGGCTTAGAAGTAGACAATTCAGGAGCTCTAGAGAGAGGCCTCAGGGTCTTTCCCAGGTAATAGAATCTGAACAGTCATCTTCAATTTGCCCCAAATATATTCTTTTGCCTCCACTCCGGCATTGTACTGTAGCTAGCGTCGCCAATGAAAAGCTTCTCTCAGGAACACCTATAGCATTTCTTAAATTGCCCAAGCTTAAGCCAGCACCGTTTCGGTCTTGCCCACATGATCTGCGCCAGTACCAAGCAGAGTGCCTGGTTTAGTTAAGAGCTCAGTGATTCTTTGATGGGTGGATATGTAAAAACATCAAGAAGAACTTGCAAACAGGAGTAACAGCCAGCAGCAACTTGCCCTTCTCTTAAAAAAACAGTTTCTGAAATGTTTTTCAGAAAATGTTTTCTAAAGAGTTTTGAGTAGGTTTCTGACATTAAGTTGCCATAGAAAACTCTCTGAGTCCTTCCTTTCTTTCTGTGGAAGGGTTTAAAATTATCCTTGGAGATTAAAAAAAAATTCTTTTTAATCAGCCTACTTAAATGAAAATAGTATATGGGTTAAACCAAGACACTCTAGATTTTCATGCTGTTTTTCTGATAGAAAATAAAGAAAAGACAGCCAGTAAAATGTCGTTTGAATCAACAAGGCAGCCAGGCGATGACTTGAATTCCATTGTGTGTGATCTAGGATAAAAATGTTGATTCACACAAAAGGGTAAATAATGTATGCTTCCACTAATATGACATACTTAGAGGAGTCCAGTTCACAGATAGAAAGTAGAAAGTGGATGCCAGGGGCTGGGAAGTGAGTGTTTAATGGGGACAGAGTGTCAGTTTGGAAGATGAAAAAATTCTGTGGATGGATGATGGTGATTGGTTGTACAACAGGGTGAATGTACTTAAAGCCACAGAACCGTACACTTAAAAATGGTTAAAATGGTAAATTTTATGTTCCGTGTATTTTACCACAATAAAAAGACATGTTAATTCAGTAGTCTTCATTATTTTGGCCACCAGTTCACAACTGCTCCCAAGAAAGAGTAAAAAGAAGATTTGAAAGTAAAAGCTCGTAACTGGAGCCAGCCCTGTCCTTTACCAGCTGTGGGACTTAGGCCTCAGTCTCCTCTTGTAGGAAATAGGAGTAATGCACGCACCTGTTCTGTGAACTGCCCATCGTTCTTTTGAGGATCAACGAAACACATGCAGATCTACAAACGTCCAGAGAGGTTCAGAAAGTCCACTGTTGAATCCCACCCCTGTCCTGGGATCGCAAGAGGATTTCATTTTGTGGATCTATTCTGTTCGATTGGTAGGGGCTTCCCGGAGTGGAAGGAATGATTGCTGGGATCAGCTAGCAGTGTCTGCGGTGGGGAAGACTGTATTTGGGCTTTGCTACTGCCAACGGTCCTGGACTCGCAGATGTTTGATGCTATTCCCAATCAATCACCGGCTCCAATCCAAATGCCCCATGCGCTGTGCCTCTTAATCCACAGACTTCCTCCACCCAGAGCCCCCACACTGATCACCTGGTGATGTGGAGCTCGGTGAGGTCTCCCCACCCATGCTGGCCTGACCCATCTCCTGACCCGCTGGCCTGTCCTAGGTGTCATCACTGCCTGTGCCCACCCAGGCTGCCTTGTTGGTGACAAACCTCTGGAACATGTCTGAGGCCCACTTTTCAGTGTGTATGCCACTTCCATACCCTCTCAGTAGATGTCACCTCCCAAACATTTCCCAACTTCATCTTCTCTCCATGCCCCACTGTCACCACCTCTAGCCCAAGCCACCATCATCTCTTTCAGAAACAACTGCAGTGTATTCCTAACTGGCCATTTGGACTCCTAACATCCACTTGGCCTTCCTTCCAATCTAGCTGGGTGGCTCTTTTTAAAGCCCAAGTGTGTTTGTTTCCTAGGGCAGCCATAACCAAGTACCACCGATTGAGTGGCTGAAAACAACAGAAATCTATTGTTTCAAGTTCCGAAGTCCAGAAGGCTGAAGCCAGGGTGTTTCCAGGCTCCCTCCGAAGGCCGTAGGGGAGGATCCTTCCTTGCCTCTTCCAGCGTCTGGTGGCTGCTGGCAATCCTTGGCGTTCCTTGGCTTGTAGCTGCACCATTCCAATCTCTGCCTTTGTCGTCACATGGCCAACTTCTCCCTTTGTGTCCTCTTCTTTTTTTTTTTTTTTTTTTTTAGCTGAGCCATCCCGCCACCTGTTGGCAGCTCACGGCTGCTCAGCTCGGGCTGACTTGAACCGCTGTTGCTCAGAGCTCAAACTCTTGAGTGAGCTCTTAACCAACTGAGCCACTCAGCCGGCCCTTGTGTCCTCTTCTTATAAGGATACCAGTCATATTGGGTGAAGTGTCCACCTTTCTCTAGTATGACCTCGACTTAACTAATTACATCTTCAATGACCCTATTTCCAAATAAGGTCACATTCTGACATACTAGGGGTTAAGACAAGTCTACCTTTTTGGGGACACAGTTCAACCTTAATACGAGAATATGGCTCCCCATGCCTCCCACTCTCAAACCCCATGTTCATCACTGGCTTCCACTTGTTCTTAGACTAAACACAAGAGTCCTTCCCATGGCCTTGAAGTCCCCACATGGTCTGTGGACTTCCCCAGCCTCATCTCACACCATCCCCTCCCACCCTTGCTCCAGCCAAGGCCCCTTGTACAGTTTTCTTTGCCTGGAACACTCTAGTCCTGCCTCCTGCCTTAGGTGTCTCATACACAACCTTCACATCTCTGCTCAGGCATCACTTCTTCCCAGGGGCCTTTCCTGACTCCCAGACTAGGTCAGACCTGCCCACTCCACAGTGAACCTCTGTGCTTCCCCCTTGCCCTGACTGCTTGAATAGTGTCTCTGCCCTGGACAGGAAGAGCCACGAGGGCCTGTTCAGGGTCTCTGTTTGCTCAGCTTTGTATCTCCAGTGCCCAGAGTGGACATGAACGAAGACCAGCCAAATAAGAAACGTAAAGAGCCTCCTATGGCAAGGGAGTCACCCACTGTCACTTGTGTTTGGCAGAGAGGAGTGGGGAAAGCTTCACAGTGGAGGAAGGGGGAGGGTTCAGGTGGGCCCTGATTGGAGGCTGGTGGCCTGGGGACGCTGGAGGTGGCTCACTAGAAGCGGGGCATCCTATGTGACTGGTTCAGGGAATGTATTTGGCTTTCTCTGGTTGGTCCTAAGTTGGAAGCTGGGACCAAAATGACAGAAGCTGCTAGTTATTAATCAAGTCCTGCCGTTTGGGGTCGGTTGTTATAGTGG